CTGCAGGACCTGCTTTGTGCCCCAGGCGCCTGCCACCACTCTTGAACTTAATATTGCTTGTTGGAATTCTCAGGGTTTCTGGTTAATGATAAGCCTGATTCCTTATCTGTGAAATGAAAGGGGATCTTTTGAGTCAGATAATCTCTATATTTCTTGAGCAGCCTTGATTTGTGAAGCTCTTTCCTCCAAGGCTTTACTTCCTGTACATCCCTGCCAAGTGTGGGTTTGTTTCTTCTTTTGCTCTGACCTCATTTCCTGTCCTTGGCCTGATCTCACTTTCCACTGGCTAACTGCCACCCCACTCCCACTTCCTGACTCTCCATTCTTTTCCTTTCCTTCGGGAATTCTGGATAAATAAACCTTTGATTGAAGGGAGCCTCTTTGTTCGATGTCCTTTGTTCTCCTTGAGCTGTCTCTGTTGAGAACTACAGGTCCTGTAAGATACCAGAGGTGGTCTTAAAATACCCAAGACACTTCTAAAAAGCCTTTCTTAAACTTGAGGTTTCCCAGGCCTGATGAATGCTAGGAACCCATTTGGAAAGGAGGAATTTGTTTATTGGAGACCTTTAGTGTGTTGAAAGTAGAATGGACTACAATTCCCAGAAGCCTTTGGTGGAGCTCCCTAGTATCCTCATGCTCTACTACCCTGAAGCTTCCAGGGAGTTGTAGTCCAATCTCTTGCTTGCATCTCTCTATCTCCTCAGACTCTGTATTCAACGCTGCCCGCTCTCCTGGATAGTAACCCTTTCACAGCTGGAGCAGAGTTGCCGGGGCCTGGTGCTGAGCTGGGGGCCATGCCTCCAGGGTTGAGACCTACCTTGGGTGTGTTTCAAGCAGCCCTGGAACTGACCAGCCAGTGCGAGTTGCACCCAGACCTTGTGTCTCAGACTTTTGGCTACTTGTTCTTCTTCTCCAATGCATCCCTTCTCAACTCGCTGATGGAACGAGGTGAGGGTTGGACTGGAAAGGGGCTGGGAGGCAGAGATAGGACCCACTGAGACTTGTGTCAGTTAAGACACATCACAGGCTCAGGCCTCATCCTTAGGGACTCCAGAGAGTGCGCTCCAGATCCCAAACTGAAGGATAGGAAAGGTCTGGGAGGCAGGAGGGCAGGGTCCATGCACCCATTGCTTCTCATACCCTTGCCCCACAGGTCAAGCCCGACCTTTCTATCAATGGTCCCGAGCTGTCCAAATCCGAACCAACCTGGATCTTGTCTTGGACTGGCTGCAGGGGGCTGGGCTGGGTGACATTGCCACTGAGTTCTTCCGGAAACTCTCCATAGCTGTGAACCTGCTGTGTGTGCCTCGCACCTCCCTGCTCAAGGTGACTCCTGACCCCTAATCTCTGAGTTCCCAACCCCACTCACCCATTCTCTGTATTCGGCTGACCCTTGGATCTCCCCTTGGGCTGTATGTTATTCCCAGTCCCAGCTCAGACACCATGGATGATGCATTGACAGCTAGAAGGAAGCCAGCCACATCAATGTCTGAATTTGGCTACATCTGAATCCCAGTGGGAGTTATTAATAATAGTTTCCAGGGTTCCCTCCCTTAGACATGCTGATTCAAGAAGTCTGGTATGGAAACAAGAAATGTGACATTTAAAGCATCCATTGAACATAAATGTGAGATACTGTGTTTGGCCCTTCTCATTGAATGCTGATTAAGCCTTGTGAAGCGGGTTTTTAACTGACAGTTTTGTTCAGAGAAAAAAAATAGAATCAGGCAGGCTAGGTCACTTGATTTCATTTATTTACTTTTATTTATCAAACTTTTATAGAGTACTTAATAAGCACCAGTCAGAGTTCTGAGTACTTTACAGCCTTTTTGAATCCTCATAACAACCCTGTTGGGTAGTTCTTGTTCTCTAATTTACAGGTGAGGAAACTGAGGCACCGTGGTTTGCCAGAAGGTAATGAGTTGCCAGAAAATCTGGGTTCAGTCTGTTTTTAATCACATTGATGATTCTGTTGCCTAGATCTAGGTTAGGTACAGAAATTTTCAAACGGATATAAAAAGTGGCCACAGTCAAATGAACACATCTGATGAAAATATAGGCACACAATAACATAAACTAATGGTCAATTTGTTCCTTCTCCACAACTGCCTACTTCTACTTCCTCGTGTACTCTGAAGCAAGTCACATTTTTCTTTTTTAAAGTTGAGAGTAGGCCCTTCCCCACCTTCACTTTGGTGATAGCCAGGCCTCACAGTGTCTTGGAAGACATTGCAGAGATACCACTTTCTACCCACCTACATCCATGCCCCCTGTGGAGGGCCTTCCATTTAGGATTTCTCAGCTGTCCCATAATGACTGTAGATTTCTCACCTTGTCTTCCTACCAGGCTTCATGGAGCAGCCTACGAACTGACCACCCTACACTGACCCCTGCTCAGCTGCACCATCTGCTCAGCCACTACCAGCTGGGTCCTGGCCGCGGGCCTCCACCCGCCTGGGATCCTCCCCCTGCAGAGCGAGATGCTGTGGACACAGGTGAGGAGAAATATGGACAGAGGCATCGGGGTGGTCAGCTTTCCTCTGTCTTCAGGACCTCGGAGTCCACAGCCCCAAGCCCTCCTTCTTCCTAGCTCTCTCCTCCCCCTGGATCTAAGGATCTAAGTGCTGGATTCCAGGATATAGGATTCTCCCACAGCTTACAGGAGATAAAGCCCCCAGCTCCTTATTTTTTCCCAGGGGTCAGGCCTCCAGCCTCTTTGCCCCCACAGACTACCTCCCCCACCTAAGAGGCCAGGCTCCAGGCCCCTCAACTCTAAGGAATCTGTGAAACAAAGTTCCTAGCCCTTCCTCCTTTCATCCTCGCGGACTCAAGAACCCAAGTACATGGCCAGTTTTCCAGGCAATGGTGGCCTTTCATTCTGAACTATAATTCCCATGATGCCTGGGGACTCCAAGAGTCACGTTCGAGGGGACCCTGCTCCAGGAGTTGCTGGCTGTTCGTTTTTCCTTCCTTCCAGCGTAGGGTAGCCTTGGCCCTCCCTCACGACCATTTTCAGAATTTAACTCTGTGTTCTTCCGTCTCTTAGGGGACATCTTCGAAAGCTTCTCTTCCCATCCTCCCCTCATCCTGCCCTTGGGTAGCTCGCGCCTCAGCCTCACGGGTCCTGTGACAGATGATGCCCTGCACCGTGAACTTCGCAGACTCCGTCGCCTCCTCTGGGATCTTGAGCAGCAGGAACTGCCGGCCAATCACCGCCATGGACCTCCCGTGGCCACGCCTCCTTGAGAACCAATAGCAAATGAGCGCGCGAATCTTGAAAATTCATCGGCTTCTAACCTCTAGAGCCCTCCTGAGCGCCGAGCTTTCTGGGAGTTGTAGTTTTTCTCCGCGTGGAATGCTGGGAGTTTGAATTTGGGGGTAGCAGAGGATGGGACAGTGGGAAGATGGGTTTGGGATTTCAGTGCCAGGAACAATAAAGGCATCTGTGGTATTGGCAACGCCTCGCTTGTTAAGACTCCGGAGCGGGGGTGGTGATGATTTTTTGTGAAATAAGTCACCAGGGCCCTTGCCTGGAGCATTGGGCTCCTGCCGAATCCACGAGGTATTTATAGCCACGGCCTCAGCTTGCCCTCTTGCCTGTAATCCAATCCAGGTGCTGGGATCTCCCACACACCTCAGGACGGAGCGCTAAACTTGTTCAGCTAAAGATCAGTCCTGCCAGTGGGAAACAGCCAACGCTCCCTTCGACCCCCATAGCCCATACTCCAGCCTCTTCCATCAGACCCAGGAGTCTGGGTTCCCTAGCCCCTTCCGGACCTTTGTGCCTGTCGGGCACCCTGATGAGTCTCAACACCTCTTGTCCCTGTTCTTGACTCCCTCCTCCCTCACATTCGAAAATCTGGGGCCCCAACCAACTCCACTCTTGGGTCCAGGAGTTCAAGCCTCTGCCTCTTTTCCTTCAAACCCCCGAATTCAGCTCTCCAGTCCCCTCCTCCCTCAGACCCAGGAGGTTGGGGCTCCAGTTTGAACCCCCCCACCTCCCCCCGAATCCGACTCCTGCTGCTGCGTCAGGGAAAAAGAAGGCGACAGGTGGCACCTGTCTTCAGGGCCGGGGCAAGACCACCTGCCGCTGCTGCTCACCCCGAGCTCCTCTCTTGGCACCTGCCTCTGTCAGTCTGCCCGCCGCTGCCCAGCCCGACCCCTCAGCCCCAGGACGCGGAGGAGCGAGCTGGGAACCCTGAGGTCCGCCCCGCCCCAGCCCCTCCCAGCCCGTGCTCCCTCCCCTTCTCAGGATGCCAGGAGGGGCTCCCGTCTGCCCCTCCCCCCCCGCCCCGCTCCCGACACGCCCCCAAAAGGGTGGGGTCCAAGGCGGTCCCAGGCTGGTAGGGCGGAGCCTGCGGCCTCCAGCCTTGACCAGCGGACTCGACCCACTCCAGAGCGCCGCTGCGCCGAGTCCACCTGGTGAGAAGGCCCTGGGATAGGGGCTGGGAGGGGAACCCGCCTTAACTCTCCTGTCACCTCTGTGATCCCAGTCCCTTCCCCACAAACCGTGATGGTTGACGCCCACCCGCGCCCCCGCACCCTTCTCAAATGCAAGTGTCAGAGACCCTTCCACTCCCTAGGGACCTGTCGGATCCCCGCTTCCCCTCTTGATCAAGGCTGTTGGATTCTAGGCCCCTTAGAGTATTGAGTTCCTGCCCTTCACCCCTTTTTCCCTCCGTTTCCTTTCTTATACCCGGAGTCCAGGCCACCAATACCCTCCTTCTTAGGACTCAGGAGTCTCAGGCCTCAGGTGCTTCTTCCCGCAGGCTCTAGGAATTGGGGCCCTCGGCGTGTCCTCTCTCACACCCAGGAGTCTGGGCCCCCAGTCCCCTCCACCCCCAGGATCCAGAAGGTATGGCCTGAGGCCGCTTCCGTCTCTAGGCTCCTCAGGCCCTTCCTTGCTGCGTTCACACGCAGGGGACGCCTCCTGACCTCCACTCTGACCCTGCCTCCCCCCTCCACCCCACCCAGCCCAGGTCCCCATCCCAGCCTTGGCAATGACCCTGGCGGCTTCCTCCCAGCGCTCCCAAATCATTCGGTCCAAGTTCCGATCTGGTGAGAGATTTCTTTCTGTGCACGTCGGGAAGGGATCCTCCTGGTCCTGGGAATGTATTCTCAACCTGGGAGTATGCACCGCGGGGCGATGTGGGGAGGTGATTCCCAAGAGGCATGAGTTCTCCATGCAAAACATTATTTGTGTATAAAGGAGGCCCCAGCAAAGGGGTGGAGTTCTGGTTGACAGTGAGTGTGCAAATGGCTGATGCAATGCTCACGTGAAGAGTGGGGAGTGGGCAGCCAGGGGTGGGTGTGCAGAGGACCAAGTACCACAAAGGAACAGGGGCTTAAAGTGACAAGTGCTCAAAGCAGAAGAGTGTCCACAGTGGGGACTTCAGAGTGGAACTGCGGGCGAGGGGACAGTGAGCTCTCAAGCCTTGAAAGTGTTGAAGGTGGCATTTCAAGTCCCAGCACAGATGGAAAGTGTGCAAGTGGGTGTACACCTGGAGGCCAAGTCCGGAGTAGACAGAGCATGCTTGAGGGTGCAGACGAGTCTGCTTCTGTGGTTGGGTGGGTGCAAAGACACCAGGAACCAGAGAGCAAGGAGTGTGCAAGAGTACATGTGCACAAAGAAATGTGCAAAGAGAGATCCTGGCTTCAAAACTGGGGGTGAAATCCCTAGTGGACAACCAAGTGTGTTAATGTGGCTGGGTGTGTGCCAAGATGGTGAGGTAAGGATGAAGAGTAGCAAAGGGCACCAGTGTATAAAAGTGGTATAAGTGTAAGACTAGAGTCCTGGGAAATACGTGTTTAGAGGTTGGTGTGCAAAAGGGGTGACTGAAGGGAGGCTGAGAAGTAGGGAGTGGGCGTGTGCAAAGCAGGATGCGCAGACAAAAGGAGGCAATGAAGCACAGACACTAAGATGGCAGTTGGGCAGAGGATAGGGTGGGCGCAGGCTTGCGAAGGGAGCAGGTCGGGGACAGGCTGCCTCCTGCCTGCATGCTGGCTGGCTCCCCGCCCCAGAACAGCCCTGGCCTTTGCTGCCGTGCTGGCAGAGAGCAGGCAGGAGGCCCGGGAAGGGAGCAGGCTGCCTGCCCACCCGCCTGCATGGGGTGTGTAAGGGGGCTGGACACACGTGTCCCGCCAACAACTGCAGCTCACACTCGCCTGCCAGGCCAGGCTCTTGGACACTCCCTTCCCGCCTTTCTCCTCCCACTCCTTCCACAGTCCTTCAGCTTCGGATCCACAGACGGTATCAGGACCTGAGTAAGTGTGGGCCCTGAAAGGGAGGGAATGGTGGCCCCACTTCCCTTAGGGCACCCTGGGGGGCAGCTGCTACACATCTTGCTTTGGGTCCTGAGCCCAGTCTCTATGCCCCAGGGTTCACTGTGGTCCCCTCCTGTCCTTCCCCAGGACCCACGGGTACAGATCCCCAGCTGCCCCACCGGCTAGGAGCTTCTCTTCCTGCCCTTGGGCTTTTCCCACTCCAGTGAAATGCATGAATCCAGATCCTGTTTCTTGGGAGAATATAGGCATCCCAGACTCCACACTTGGCACACATGCAAATCTCAGGATGTGACTTTCAGCTTCTCTCTCTCCCCAAGAACCCGGAGTGCTGGCTCCACCCTTCTCCCAGCAAAACCTCAGAAATCTGGGATCCTGTTACCACACCCCTTGATGGCTGAGGATGAGATTCCTGCCTTTCTTGAGAATGGAAAAGTCTGGGTCCCTTGCGCTTTTGCCCTTAGATCCAGGAATCCCGGCGCTTAGCTCCCACCACTTGGTTTTCACTCCCCACATCTGTCCTTCTGCACTTGGGGGCTGGGGCCTCCAGGGCCCTCCTTCCCACACAGCCTTCTTTCTCCCTGCCTGGCGTGCTGCCTGCAGCCCTCTCAGGGTCCTTTGCCGCCTCCCCAGTCTTGGATCCTGATCCATGGATCTCAGCTGCAGATCCGGCTCTGGCTCTGGCCCCAGCCTCCCCACTGGGCCCAGCCCCTTTCCTCTTCAACCCTGGAGCCCTTCCTCCTGAGCCGAAACCCTGCTCTTGGAGGTCCCTGAAGAAGGTGAGTCTCTATCAGAGTGAAGGGAAGTCCCCCCAAGAGTCTAGCCTTGGTCCTCCTTGCTGCTACCCATTTTGCTTCTCTCTGATGGCAACAAGCCCACCCCATACCTTGCCTGGGGCTCTGGGACAGTAGAGCAGGAACGGAGCAGAAGCATATGACATCATACCTGCTCTTTCAGGAGTCTCCCAAGACCTTCCAACACTGGAGGGAGCCCAAGCCCAAGGGGAACTTGACATACCACCAGTACATACCCCCAGAGCCAAGACAAGGGTGCAGGGCAGACCCCCAGGTTGAAGGGTCGCCCTTGGATCCCCCTGGACCACCTCTGTGGGAAGGGACAAACTTACAGCAGCCACCTCCTAGGTATGACCCCCATTTTTGTTCTCCGGGAAGTTCAGGCTCCCAGCTCCCTCCTCCTCCAGGACCCGAGTTCAGGTCCTCAGCCCCCTGTTCCTTCAGTTCCCAGGAATCCTTACCTCCTACCCAAGAGTCTGATCCCTCTCCCGTCAATTCCTCTTCTCCCATGCATGGGAACTAGCCTCCCGTGCTTGCTCGTTCAGAGCCCCACAATTCGGGCCCCTCACTTTCCCTCATCCTCATGAACCCATGTCTTTGAGGACTCCAGAATGCCTTTTCTCTCTCTGCCCCTTCTAACCTCTGTTTCCCCCTCGAAACTATCGCCAGGATGAAGCCCACACCCCTCACTCCCTCCCCACCAGGAGTTCCCAACCCCTCGCCCCTGCCACACAAGTTGGAACTTCAGACCCTTAAACTGGAGGAGCTGACGGTGAGTTTGGGGAGTTCCGAGGTTCAGAAGTCTAACCCTACAGCCTTTGCTGCGCTGGAGATCCGGGTCCCCAGTTCGTCCTCTCTCGGGTTCCAAATGTCCAGCCCCAGCAAACCCCCACCTGCGCCCCGGAGCCCGCCTAGCACGTCCTCTCCCCGCCTCCCACCCTAGGTCTCAGAGCTCCGGCAGCAGCTGCGGCTGCGGGGCCTCCCGGTGTCGGGGACCAAGTCAATGCTTCTGGAGCGCATGCGCGGCGGCGCCCCGCTCCGCGAACGGCCGAAGGCTCGGCGCGAGGACAGTCCGGCGGGCGCCCCCTGGCCTCGCTTCAGGCCCAAGGCTTTGGGAACCGCCCGGAGTGCGTGCTCGGTGAGGGCGGGGCTGCCTGCGTGGACCAATGAAGAGAAGCCAAAGCGGGATGGGACGGCAAGCCGAGAAAAGAACAGCCAATAAAGTGTGGGGGCGTGGTTAAGAGCCAAGGGGGAGGATCCTAGGGGAAGGAAAGCCAATGAAATAAAGGGGCGTGGCCTAACGAGGCGGGGTCAATGAGTGAAGGGCGGGGCGCAGGCCTGGGGGTGGAACCACAGATAGCGAGTGGGTGGGGTTGACCCCCAGTGGGCGCAGCTTTTAGAAATTACCCTTCGTGGTTCCAGTTCAAGCTGAGTCCAACGTCTCATTCGCCGCCTCCTCCACGTGCCGCGGAAACCCTGGTCACTGCTTCGGCTTCGGCTCCGGTTCCGGTTGCGACGACGGCTCAGGCTCCAACTCCAGCTCCAGCGCCGGTCCCTTCCTCAGCACCGGCCTCAGCAGCCCTGACCCTGGAGGAGGAGCTGCAGGAGGCGATCCGCAGAGCGCAGGTGAGAGAGAGCGGGCCTAGGGTCTCAGACAGGATCAGGCTGGAGTCCCAGGTTCACGCTGCTGCTCCCTGTCCGCAGCTGCTTCCGAACCGGGGCATTGATGACATCCTGGAGGATCAGGTGGAGCCTGAGGGTAAGAGCCGAACTCCTCGATTTGAGGAAAAGGGGGACGCGGTCCAAGGTTCTGGATTCGCGGGTCTTAGGGAGGAGTGGTCTGAGGACCTAGACTCCTGGAAAAGACAAATAGGGAGCTAGGGTCCGGACCTCTGCCTTCCTAAGCTCACGCTGCATTTCTTCCCCTGCAGACCCGCTGCCCGCCATCTCCTTGGACTTCCCCGGCTCCTTCGACATGCTGTCCCCCTCCCCGGACTCTGAAGGCCTCTCTTCTGTCTTCTCTTCCTCACTTCCGTCCCCCACGAATTCCCCTTCCCCCTCTCCCAGGGGCCCAACGGACTCCTTGGATTGGCTGGAGGCTCTGAGTGGGGGTCCCCCTCTGGGCTGTGGCCCCCCAGCCCCCAGCATTTTCTCTGCTGACTTATCTGATTCCAGTGGCACCAGGCTGTGGGACCTGCTGGAGGATCCATGGTGATGGATTTTGGGGTTTCCAGGGACTGCGAACTGGTGGGGATGGAGAGGTCACAGAGATAGGCTCTGTGTGTGTGGTGGGGGTGAGCAGAGGTGGTTGGAACAACTAGCAGAGCCCCTCCCACCACAGACACAAAAGCAGAGATAACTCTCATCTCCACCTGACCCGTGCACTGCTGCTGACACGCCAACCTCCTAACTTCCGCCTGACCTCCATGTGATCCCCTCTGTGCTTGTGTTGTTGGGAGCAAAGAGGTTTCCTTTGCTGCTGACCAGGACAAACAAGCTGCTTGATGCTTCCTTCAGAGACCTCATGGATGTTTTTATTCCACACTATCACCCCCACATCTCACCTACTGGATGGCTGCCTGTTGCTGGGGAGCCTGGAAGGTGATCTCTGCTTTTTTGGATGCAACAGGGAGACAGGGATGAGCAGGGAGAGAGAATAGTCTGCCAGACCCTTGGCTTCTGATTGGAGATGAGAAAAATCAGATGTGTCATGAATCTGAGGTCAGATTCTCTTAGAAGCAGAATCTGAGACAAGACCCTTGTGTCCATGATTTAGTAAAGACATGCTCCCAGGAGAAAACAATAAAGGAATAGATGAAGCAGAACAGGGATGGGGAAGAAGACTAGCAAGGGTGTGATGTCAGGTGAAGTCCCAACCTCAGCCTAATCCCTTTGGGAGCTCTGGAGGATAAATTAAGTAGAATCATTCCCACCTTGAAGCAAAGGGAACTGGGCCTCTGAGGCAAATGGAAATTCCTGCTTGGATTTACTATTGCTGAATAACAAGCCACCCCAAGATTTAGACTGTTCTCAATTCCATGTGTGTTAAGTCTCTTCAGTTGTGTCCAACTCTTTGCGACTCCATGGCCTGTAGCCCACCAGGTTTCTCTGTCCAAGGGGTTTTCCAGGCAAGAATACCAGAGTGGGCTGCCATTTCCTTCTCCAGGGGATCTTCCTGACCCAGGGATGGAAACTGCTTCTCTTATGTCTTCTGCATTGGCAGGTGGGTTCTCTACCACTAGCACCACCTGGGACTAGCCTGTAATTGTTCACAATTCCATGGATTGACTGGGCTCAGTGACATGGTTCTTTGGCACCGTACCGCATCAACTAAAGCCACAGTCATCTTAGGGCCCAGCTGGGCTATAACATGCAATATGGCGCACTCAGATGCATCTGGCCCCTTGGTAGGGATGGCTAGGAGGCATGACCCTACTGAACTGTGGGATATCTGGACTTCTCACATTCTCTATGTAGTCTCACTGCTTTCCCTCTCCATGTGATTTCTTTCTCCAACAAGTAGCTGCACCCCTTACTTGGTAGCTCAGGGCTCCCCAGAGTGAGCATTCCTCAGGGAAGGAAGCAGAAACTTCTGATTTTTTAAAGACTAAGCTTGGAACTGGCACAGTGTCGCTTCCACCACATTCTACTCCTTAATGTAAGTCGGGGCAGCTCAGGCTGAATATGAGAGAATACTACACAAATGTATGAATTTTGGGGGCATGGTCATTGGGGGCTATCTTTGGGGACTTGCTACTATATGCCTCTAAGGCTATCGTGGGCCACATGTCACAAGAAGGGGGCAAGAAATAAACTCCCAGGCACCTTGAGCCCAACAGCAGTCCTGGAAACAAAGTTGCAGGAGAGGTTGTTAGCAGCAAACTGTTTTAAAATATAGGTTTTATTATTATTATGTATGGTGAGGCCAATAGATCAGGAGACAACTGTCAGTGAAAAAACAGTTTGTTATTTTCACAGGTCCCAAAGGCAGGGGGCATTGCCAAGCTATGCAGGACTATATGGAGAAGCACCAGGGTCAATCAGGATGTAGAGGGGAAGAGGAGAAACTTGGACCTGAGAGTCTTTATTGTGGTTTCCTTAGGAAATAACAGATGTGCCAAGGATCTATAAGCTTAGAATTGTCTGGTTTGAATAATGTCAGCAGGCTCTGGGGTGTAAGAGTTACCTGGAACTTGTCCTTGGAGGGGCAGATGAATAGTGGCCTGAAATATAGAGATCCATACAGAAAGTGGTTTGAGGTATAGGCTCTGGGTTGGTTGGTTTGCATGTGAAGGACATGCTTAGGTGTGAGTCCTTTACCTCTCGGAATTAGCCAGCCCTGGGAGGGGCAGACCCTCCATCAGCAAAGCCCCAGATGTCAAAGCTCCAGAAATACAGAAAATAAAAAGGCATGGTTAACACATAAAACACTCAGAAGCTGAGTGTTGGGTGCTCAGAACTGTAAGAGGAATGTGAGGGGACCTGGGCAGGCCAACAACGGTATCCGCTACAAGTGAGAATATGCTGCGGATTGGTTATGTGTTACAGTGCCTAGAGTTGTGACTTCCCTTGTCACTGTCATGTAAGTTTCTTTATGCATTCCTACAGCCCAGTGTGACAGAGAGTTCAGAGACTGTCCACAAACCAGACCTGGCAAGTCACGTGCACTGATAAATATTAACCACCGTTACTAGTTGCTGATCCACAATTCTAGTGCCTCAAAGTGTGTAAACTCCAGTGAATATTGAAGATTCAAGATAAATATGGAAGGGAACAAATGCTCATTACCATGAGGGAAAGGGAATCTTTGGTGTCTTCCAAACCCATCAGGTGGAATTTGTCACCCTCACTTTCCAGAGGAAATAATTAAAGATCAGAGAAGGGGAGTGACCTGCCCAGTAGCACACAGACAGGAGGTGTTGGAGTAGGGTTTTAAATTCATAAATCCACAGCCTGTGCCCTCAAGGTTGAAAAATGGAAGAGCCTCGATCTCTGCTCTGGTGAAGCTCAGTCATTTGAAAAAAAAGGGTCCCAGTGCAGGGTGATAAGTATTTTCATGGCAATGGGATAGGAGGGGCATGAATCCTAGAAAGTACCAGAATTTACAGGGAAATGGGACAGGGTGGTCAGAGGAAACAGTTTTTGCTAAGACTCAAAGGATTGAGGAGGAGATAATCAGGAATCCCTTGGAAGACAGCATCCTTTTTGAGGGTGAAGACCACACAAAGGCTTGAAGGTGTGAAGGGTGCTGTTACCTGGGGAACTGTGTGAGGTCAGGGTTCCTGGAATAAAAAGTGGATGTCCGTGCTATGGCCAAATCTGGGACTAGAGAGGTGGGTGGCGGCTGGGTTTTCCAGGATCCCTTATGTCAGGCTGAACGTTGCTGGGAAAGGGATACAGTCAGCCCTGGGGAAGGGCTCTTCCTTTGTTTCTGTTTCCCGCCTGACACTTCTGTGCCTCCGTTCCCACCTCCGCCTGCCCTGGTGTCCTCCTCACTCTGTCCCCATCTCTCCTACGTCCAGACGAGGGCAGCATTGGGCTGAGAGCCTGCGGGCCCTGTGTGCAGTCCCAGAGAAGAGCCGAGGCTAGGGGCAGCTAGCTAAGGAACTTTCTGGAAGGTGGAGATGGGACCGACAGACCCAGGAGTGGGTGGGGTGTGCAGGGGTGAATCCAGAACCCGAGGGACGGGCTTGAGTCCTGTCTTCTCCTCTGCCTGTCCCCTAGCCCTTCTCCAGAAGTTTTTTTGCAGGAAGGGGGACCCCTTCCAGGGCTCGAGAGTGGGCTCTTGTCTAACACTCAGAAATGAATTGTCCAAGGAGACACAAGGACAATTTGTGTTGACAAAGCAAGAGATTTTATTGGAAAGGGTGGGAACTGCTCTGCCACTTGTCTCGAAGGCTCAGGGTTTTATGGTGATGGGATTAGTCTCTGGGTTATCTTTGGCTGATCATCAGACTCAGAGTCCTTCCTGGTGGCTCACGCCTTGCTCAGCCAAGATGGACGTCAGCAAGAAGGATCTGGCAGGCGGTAGCACACGTGGGGTTTCCTTTTGACCTCTCTGGAACTCTTGTGGTGGCGGTGGTTTATTAGTTCCGTGTTCCTTACCAGGATCACCTGTCATAAAATAACTCACCAGATGGTTACTATGGCGCCTGCCCAGCGTGGATGGTTTCAGCCATGTGCCTCCCGCAGCAGTTTCAGCCGCTTCTTCCTGCCTCTGAAGAGTGTGCTGGGCCTCCCCCGAGGGGGTGGGAAAAATGAGGGCTGGTCCTATGGGGGAGCTTGGGGGAGGATGAGGTCAGATGGGGGGGTCTCCCACCATGCTGCCTTTCCATGATCTCAGTGGAAGCATGAAAAAGACCAAGAATATATTTGGGGTAGCCATTCCCTTCTCCAGGGGATCTTCTCAACCCAGGGATCAAACCCGGATCTCCTGCATTGCAGGAATATTCTTTACCATCTGAGGCACCAGGGAAGCCCAATGTTTGACAAACTACCCAAATTACCAATTTATCTTATAGACATATTCCCCAGAAGGGTACATTCATATTCATTGGGTAGACTGGAGAAGAATATACATATATATACATGTATGTATGTATGTATTTCTCTTTCTTCTTTCTTTTCTTCTGGTGGTGCAGGTTGTGGCATCATAGTTGCCTAATCAGGGATTAGACTCACTCCCTTGGCCTTGAAAGCCCAGAGTCCTAACCACAGAACCACCAGGGAATTTCTTTAAAAAAAATAAATCCTTCCTCTTCTCTTTCCACCCCACCCCTTCCTCCCTGTCTCTTTTTCCCTCCCCTCTCTGTTACCACATATCTAGTTGGCTGCTTCCAATGCTGACTTCTATTCTGCCTTTTACCTCCACCTTATTTTTTCTTTCTGTTGCACCAGTGGTGGCCACCCCCCCCCCCAGCTCCCAGCTCCACCAACCACCCGAGACCATTGTCTTCACCCTCCCTCATCCTCTCCATCACTCATCCTCCTCTTCCTCATTGTCATCATCAAGCACAGCCCTTTAGGGACCCGTGGGAGAATTTCTCTGGGAAACACACCCAGGAGTGGGTTGACACAGTGGCAGTTGCCACAGTGGTTGAGAGTCTCATCTCTGGGGTCAAATCCACCTGAGTGGACTTATCTCTCCATCACTAACTTCATGGCCTAGAGCAAGCCATTTATTTCAACTCTTGGTGCCTCAGTTTCTTCATCCAT